AGACTTAAAACACTTGAAAGAATTTTATTAGGGATAAAATTTCTTCAAGTTATTGACATTCCAGACTCTAGGAACTCTCTTTCCTTCAGCGTCTTGGAGAATATAAGCACCAGGATGTGGCACCTCAGCCACGGCATAGGGGCCTTCCCAATTTGGGGCAAGTTTGCCAAAACGAGTTTCGAACCCCGTTAGGCCAGCTTTTCTGAGAACAAGGTCTCCTACTTTAAATGTTCGAGGGCGGACCCGTTTGTTGTAGAAGTTGGCTAGTTTCTGCTTGTATACAAGAGTTCGAAGCCGAGCTTCTTCTCTGACTTCAGCAAGCAGATCAAGGTTTTCCCCAAGCAGATCAAGGTTTTCCTGAAGCAGTTGTCCATTTCGTTCGTCATCAAAATGGGTGACCCAGAAGCTTGGGACTCCTATCTCAATAGGGATGACTGCTTCAGTACCAAAGGCCAGGTGGTAGGGTGTTTCACCTATTTCAATTAATTATAACTTTAGAATGCGCTTTATGCGTTATGCATATGTGCTCTAAGGTAAGGCGTAACAGAAGAAGTAGAATGATATAGAAATTAATCAAATAGATTTGGTTTAATGTAGTACCTGTAGCAGTTCAGCTCGTAGTTCTGTATGCCCATAGGACATTGTTGAGCTCGTCTGCCCACTTGGCCTTATGCTGCTCCAATCTCGGCCTTATACCTTCCAGAATGCATTTGTTAACAGATTCAACCATACCATTGGACTCCGGATGGTAAACGGAGGTGAACTGTAACTTGATCCCATAACTGGAGCAGAAATCTCAAAATGAGGCGCAATTGAATTGAGTTCCATTATCAGCCACAATCTGATTTGGGATCCCATATCTGCAGATGATAGAACTGAAAACAAAGTCTTCAACTTTCTTAGAGGTAAGACTGGATAAAGGTCGAGCTTCAACCCACTTCGTGAAATAATCCACACCAACAACCAGATGGGTTACACCACCAACCCCTTTCACAAATGGGCCTAAAAGATCCAGTCCCCACTGAGCAAATGGCCACGGGGCCACCATGTTTGTGAGCTCTTCTGCTGGTTGATGAGTCAGATGTGCAAAGAATTGACATTTCGGGCATTTCTGAACAAAGCAAGTGGCATCTTTGTACATGTTTGGCCAGTAATATCCTTGCCGTAAGACTTTGTGAGCCAGAGTCCTGGCACCAACATGGCTTCCACAGACACCTTCGTGCACCTCCCGAAGTGCAGATTCAGATTCATAAGGGCTTAAACACCGTAGAAGAGGAAGTGAGAAAGATCTCTTATACAGGACCTCATCAACGAGTGTATATCGAGATGCTTTCTTCCTCAATTTCATTGCCTCCTGTCTGTTCTCAGGTACGATCCCATCTCGTAAAAAGGAGACAATCAAATCAGTCCAGCTCGGCGTGTCAGGGTCTGTGCTAATCTCCATCACACGAGGCTTCATGAAGCTTGGTTCATCTAGGACCTCTACAAAAACAGATCTAGAGCTTAAAGAGCTATCAGAGGCAAACTTGGAGAGTGAATCTGCCTGTTCATTCTCAGCTCGGGGGATTTTACTCAGACAGAATTTTTGGAATTTGCACTTCAGCTCGGCCACCAAGGCTACATACTTCACCATCACAGGATCAACGACTTCGCAAATAGAGTTGATTTGGTTCACCACCAGCTGGGAGTCACTGTACACTTGAATTGCACTGATTTTCAACTCTAACGCTAGTTGTAGACCAAGTAGCAGAGCTTCATACTCAGCCATGTTATTTGTCGCATCAAAGTTGAATTTCAGGGCATGTTCACTTCGGTATCCTTCTGGACCAATCAAGAGAGCGCCAGCCCCTGAACCCTTGCTACTAGATGCTCCATCAACATATAAGGTCCATTCGTTGGGTTCTGGAGTGGAGGTGGAGGGACACGGAGTGCATTCGACAATGAAATCTGCTAGTGCTTGAGCTCGGATAGTCGACCTCTGCTGAAACGTGATCTCAAACTCCCCCAGTTCTACTGCCCACTTAATTAATCTTCCAGAGCATTCTGGTTTCTGCAGAATTTGCCTGAGAGGTTGATCTGTGAGAACGATGATTGGGTGTGACTGGAAATATGGCCTCAACTTCCTGGCCGAAGTGACAACTGCTAGTGCTGCTTTCTCCGCTATAGGATACCTCAGCTCTGCTCCGTGCAGTACACTGCTGATATAATAGATTGGTTTCTGCTGCTTGGCTTCCTCTCTCACCAGGACTAAACTAATGGCCTCATCTGAAATCTCTAGGTACAGATAAAGAATCTCTCCATCTACAGCCTTAGTCA